AGGGTTGGGGAAGGGAATGAGAATCAGAAACCCGGATATACGGTGGGGAATGGAAAAAGCCTAAATTGGGGAATCAAAAACCTAAAAGTGGGGAAAGGGAATGATTTTTTTTATAAACAAACAACAACAAAGGGAATTAGGGAATCCCATTCCGTTTCCTGATTCCCTTACCCCCTAACCAAACGCCCCCTAAATGATTATTACACAGTACTTCGTATCTATTAACACACTTCAGGAATGCATGTGTTGTGTGCATCAATTCCCAATATTAAAACGTGGGGTAACACAATAACTATTTAAATTCACTTTCCAAAAAAAAAGGACGAGCCCCATCCTCGAAGCCCCTTTAGACCCAGTCAGACGGTCACTAAGAGGAGGTAAATTGGACTTTGATCGCAGATTGGTGGCAAAGAGTAGAGCCTGCACCTGATACTTGCAGAGACCCTATGCTTAGCATAGTTGCCTCCCAGCGCAGTTTCCAGGAATTGAAATCGGGTCTTACCCCCCTGGCATTCCTTGCCTTGCCAACTGCGCTTTAAATTCACTTTCCAAGAGAGTGGAGCAAACCATATTCTCTTTATTCTTTAATTTTTTAAGGTGAGTATCAAATAATGATCAAGTTTTTTTAATGAACGGTTTCCAAAAAATAATCTAACAAATAAATTTTAAAGTTGTATCAATCTACTGCGGGGTGCGTAGCATACTTTTGTACTTTTTTATTTGTGTATCTTTTCTAATATAACATATTTTTTATTTAATTATGGGTGGAAAGTTGATTCTAATAAGACAAAAGTGAAAAATGGAAGAGATAACAAAGCACATCAATTCACATTCTCTAATGCCCCATCTTTAATTGTGGAGCAAAATCTGTCTACATGCCTTTTCAACTTCCAATAAATAATAAATAACGATCTCAACAGGTTGAGAAACAATCAGCCAAAGTGTAAAAAGTCAATAAATGTGCCGTGAATATTGGTGTTCAATCCCAATGAATAATAGCAAATCACAACCCTTTATCCAGCATACAAAGAAATGAACGGATCAGATTTTTTTGGACAGAAAACAATGTCAGATTTCTTTTCCTTTTGAAAACAGTATAGATGACAGAAAAAACTAGGAAAAAAACAATTTTTATTTGATTTTTTGACCTTAATGGGCTGGGATGGTGGATAGGTTGGTGATAATGTTATTGATTTGTTTGGCTGAAATGGAGTTTTACCCAATGCTTTTCCTGTTAGGAAACTCAGATTTAGCCAGTTCAGCCATATAACCCTCGCGGAACAGGCATTTGATTGTTTTAGAACGAGAATTTCAATTTGGATTGCTTTGTTTCCCAGGCAATCTTAGGCAAAGATGGGTTCGTTGAAGAGGAAGTCAATAGAAGATCTGACTGATACAAGTGAAATATCAAGACCTGAAAAGCAGCAGCGAGAGAGTGGTCTACTGGGTTTGGATGAGCCAGTGGCTTGTCTTCATGATGTGTCATATCCGGAAGGTTATGTCCCTCGCGATTCAAGTTTGGCCAAGGCTGAAGGAGACTCAAAACCTGCCAAAGAGTTCAGTTTTACGCTGGACCCTTTCCAGTCTGAAGCAATTAAATGCCTTAACATTGGTGAATCTGTCATGGTAACATTTTCTTTGATCACAATGCTTAGCACCATTACTGTGTAAATTTTATATGTAATTTATTTATTATGAGAGCTCGAATCCAACCTGTTATTGTAGTATATATTTCTTGGATCTTGTTTTAAAATTTGTGTTAGGTGTCAGCACATACATCAGCCGGTAAGACAGTTGTGGCTCTTTACGCAATTGCCATGTCATTGAAGAATAATCAACGTGTGATATATACTTCACCCATCAAAGCTCTTAGTAATCAAAAGTACAGAGAGTTTAAGGAAGAGTTTTCTGACGTGGGGTTGATGACTGGAGATGTGACCATTGAGCCCAATGCTTCTTGTCTGGTATGTTTTGATGCTGAAGTGATGTGTGTCTGTAATATATTTTTCAGCCTGCGTGGCTAATATGTGATTAAATTTTAGGTTATGACCACAGAAATCTGGCGTAGCATGCAGTACAAGGGATCAGAGGTTGTTAGGGAGGTGGCCTGGATTATTTTTGATGAAGTACACTATATGCGTGATTTAGAACGAGGTGTAGTTTGGGAGGAGAGCATTGTGATGGCTCCAAAGAATTCTCGTTTTGTATTTCTCTCAGCAACGGTGCCAAATGCTAAGGAGTTTGCAGATTGGGTTGCAAAGGTGATTGTGGCTTGTAAAATTCATCTTAAGGGCAAAAAGATTCAATTTTGATGACATGTGATTTGACACATACCTTAAGGGTCTAACGGAAACCTCTCTGTTTTTTCCTGGGGTAAGGTTGAGTGCATCTTGACCCCCAGACCCCAACGAAGTTAGGATTATATTGGGTTGTTATTGTTGCAATTTACCATTGTCAAGTATTTCACTGTTTATTAAGGTAGATAGTGGTACCAATTTTGGTTATCAAAATGCAGGTCCACCAGCAACCATGCCATATTGTTTATACAGACTATCGACCTACACCTCTTCAGCATTACATATTTCCTTCTGGTGGTGAAGGTCTGTACTTGGTGGTTGATGAAAAAGGAAAACTTCGCGAAGATAGCTTTCAGAAAGCTTTAAATGCTCTTGTTCCTTCTAGTGAGGGGAATCAGAAAAGGGAAAATGGAAAACGGGAGAAGGGTATAGTTGCTGGTAAAGTGGGGGAGGACAGTGATATATTTAAAATGGTGAAAATGCTTATTCAACGTCAGTATGATCCTGTAATATGTTTCAGTTTCAGTAAAAGAGAATGTGAATTTCTTGCAATGCAGGTTTGTCTTTTCTGTTTTACGATTTGTATTTTTGTCTAAGTGGGTGGATGTGCTTCTATATACTCTCTTTGGAAATGCACTAAACACAATACATTTCGGAATACTCTAGATGGCTAAAATGGATTTAAACAATGACGACGAGAAGGTGAACATTGAAACTATCTTTTGGAGTGCTATGGACATGTTGTCTGATGATGATAGAAAATTGCCACAAGTAAGATTCTTAGCCTCTATGGCATTTCAAAAATAAAATGTAACATGATTGCTTATAATCATACTCTGCTTTTAGTTTTATTTTCTTTTTATTTAACTGTGTTTTAGCTTATTACTCCGTATTATTATTATTATTATTATTATTGTTATTATTATTATTATTATTATTATTATTTGGGGGGTGGGGGTACATCTGACGGTGTAAGATTCTTAGCCTCTATCGCATTTCACAGAGAATGTAACATGATTGTGTATAATCATTGTCTGCTTTTAGTTTATTTTCTTTTTATTTAACTGTGTTTTTTAACTTATTATTATTATTCTTAGTATTCGAGGGGTGGGGGTACATCTGACTGTTTAAGGTAGGCACATGAGTGCAGCCTCTTCACCTATTAATATGTGTATCTGTCATTTTTACAAATGTGAATGGGATGTAAGTGATGATACCATATGCCTATTGTTGTTTCTCAGGTTTCAAACATGCTACCATTGTTGAAACGTGGAATTGGTGTGCATCATTCTGGGTTGCTTCCTATATTGAAAGAAGTGATTGAAATTCTATTTCAGGAAGGGTTTATTAAGGTTGGTGCAACTAACTGCTAAAATAAAGACAGATTGTATAGTCTGTTCTCGTCCTTTTCTATCTGTATCTACACTAGGTTAAGATGTGAATGACATGGTTTATGCCTTTATTTCCTTCTGCTTTTATGCTGGATTACAGAGCTTGTTTATGCCCCTTTAAGTAGATATCAATTTTAGGTAAGTTGGTTATTTTGGTCTATTCTTTGAATCTTTGGAGGTTGGAATATTGAGCACAATATTTATTGATAAATATTCAGGCAAATGTACATGTGGGGAATACGTGTATTGGTAATTGGCATATCAGCATATGTAGTTATTTGGGATTTTGGGTTTTGGAGCACGGACTATTCATGCATCCATGACAAGGTTGTTAAAACTACGTGTTGGGTCCTAGTATCTTATGTATTTACACATTAGGAGCATGAGACCATTTGGATCGGGTCTTCAATCGCAAGCTGCTAGAATTAGCTGAGATTGTTGGGCTAGCACATAAGATCACCAGATTGTCCAGCTAGCACACAAGATTGCCAGATTGAAAGTCCACCCAATCTTCGAACACACTAACTGGGTCAGGCTGTCAGCATAGAAGAAACTCAAGAAAGGGCAAAAGGCACACTGTTTCCAGCATTCAAACTCTTCTTATGCGTCAAATTCTTACACATTGAAGCTTTTCAATCTCCTCTCCCCTCTGCTATAATTTTCTGCCTTTTTTCCATCTACTTGTCACAATCATTGGCTTCAGTTATCTGGCATATATAATTAAGGCATATTTGCCTCTATTGCCACTTTGCATTTTCTTGAATCACGCTATCCGGCGTATCCTCACATTCCTGCTATTGATTACTTCCGTTTTATTCTTAAAATTCTCGGTCTTGTTTTAATAAATGTTTGGGTAAAAGTTCATTGCTATGATTATGACTATGTTTTAGTTTCAGCCACATAGTGGACTAAATCAAAATGAAATATTTTACTTCCCTTGCTTCTTACTTTTTGTGATGTTCTGGGCAGTAAATGCAGCAACGCATCTAGGGTGTAACATAAATGGTTTCTGTTTTTACAGGGATAAGATTGCGTACATCTTGACCCCCCCTGACCCCAATAGAGTTGGGATTATAGTGGGTTGTTGTTGTTGTTTGTTTATGCCTTATGATTATGAGATGACCTTATTTTATATTTGATTTCTTATATTCATGTACGTGTACATGGTATAAATTTTACATATTAGCCACAATTCTAAGATCTTATGATCCCCGATTTATGATCTTCCACGCCCCCTTCGATCCTAGCTAAGATTTGGAGTTTAACAACCTTTATTAGTGAACATTGCGATGTAGGGCAATGGTATACTCATGTTTGAGGGAGAAGTTGTAGAATCCTACTTCATTTCTCATTTATGCTCTATTTGATAGTTCGATTCTCTACTGCTTTGCCAAATATTTTTTTATCCCTCTTACCTATCTTTCCATACTTATATTCATATATTGATAAAAGTTTTCTTTAGTGTTTGTTTGCTACAGAGACCTTCAGCATAGGGTTGAATATGCCTGCAAGAACGGTTGTCTTCACAAATGTGCGCAAATTTGATGGAGACAAGTTCAGATGGATATCCAGTGGTGAATATATACAAATGAGTGGACGTGCTGGTCGTCGTGGAATTGATGACCGAGGTATTTGCATCCTGATGGTTGATGAGAAGCTTGAACCTTCTACTGTTAAATTGATGCTAAAAGGAAGTGCTGATCCATTGAATAGGTAACAACTCATCTTTATACATTGCATCAATGATCAATCTTAACATCTCCAGTGCGTAGTGCTTTTTATTTGTCTAGTTTTTCCTAATATGCTGCCGTCTTTGAGTTTGTATTGCTACCTTTTTGTTTTGGGAAAAAGTACTAAATGGAATAACATATATTCTCTGGGGGGGGGGGGTGATATTAACTGGGTTTGTTAATTGTTATAGAAGCAGCTATAATTACTTTGTGTGTGTGAATGTGTTATAGTCATGTGTATATCCAAGTATCCAACTGACTGCCATTGCATTTTTTGCAGTGCTTTCCATCTTAGCTACAACATGCTCTTGAATCAGATAAGATGTGAAGATGGTGATCCTGAAAATTTGCTTAGGAATTCATTTTATCAATTTCAAGCAGACCGAGCAATTCCTGATCTTGAGGTTAGTTGAGTACCTAAGTGGTAGTAATTGATCATTAATCTTTAGAACTACTTCACAACCATTCTTTTGAAAAACCTTCATGCAGAAGCAAGTAAGGTTACTTGCAGAAGAGAGAGATTCAATTGTTCTTGAGGAAGAAGATAGTTTAGAGGATTATTATTCTCTGTTACAGCAGTACAAGAGCCTGAAGAGGGATGTGCATGACATAGTTCTCTCTCCGAAGTATTGCTTACCTTTTCTGCAGCCTGGAAGGATTGCCAGCCTGTACTACACAAATACAAGTGAGGATATTCCATCCTTTTCAATCAATGAAAACGTTACATGGGGAGTCATACTAAACTTTGAGAGGGTAAAATGCCATTCTGAAGGTGAAACAAGTTCAGTTTTCTATCATCCTTTGAATTTCATTTGCTTCTTGAGTATGTATGCAGCTCTTAAATAGTTAAATATTTTTTCAGATGATGTAGATAAGAAGCCAGAGGACGCCGACTACACAGTAGATATTCTCACACGATGTGTGGTGCATAAAGATGATCTTGGTAAAAGATCAACTAAAGTTGTTCCCTTAAAGTCTCCTGGGGAAGCTGCTGTTGTTTCTGTTCCATTATCCAAGGTAAGCTTTTTGTGACTATTATGCTATAGTGGATTTCCTTCCACGGAATCACGATTGAAGCATGCACTTTAATGGCTCTTCTATTGCCCTTTTTAAATATTTGTGCATGTTATTTATATTCATTTTTAATTATTTTTTGCTTTTTTGTAGTATCAGTAATTGGTTGGGCAATAATGTTACCTTTGCTGCTCCTTCAGCATTCGATGAACCATTTTGAAAATGACAATTGTGGATATTATCTCTGCTGAGTAGTTTTTTTATCATCATCATCGCCACTTTATGCTAAGTTTTTTTTAATCATCACCGTCACTTAATGCTAAGTAGTTGGAATCAGTGGCATTAAATATATACCACCAACTAATCAAGCTTGAGAACTTGGACTCTTGGAGCACATTCATTACTTTCTTTTTCTTCATTTTGGTGGTTTGTTCATTTTCTGCTTTGAAATAGTTGTACAAACAGTTCGCTAGAAATAATGTGTAGTCCTGATGTTTGTCTCAACAGATCGAAAGTTTGTCTAACCGTCGTCTGACAATACCAAAGGACCTTTTACCGTCGGAAGTTCGAAATAATACCTTGAAAAAGCTTTCTAATTTTATCTCTAGCCATGAAAAGGACGGGATTCTCTTAGACCCGGATACTGACATGAAGGTATACAGAGCTTATTATCTGTTTTAACTCTTCTAGGTGAGCATTCAACTAACACCTGTTCTGTTCTTCAGGTCAAAAATAGTTCATACGTCAAGGCTGCGCGCAGAATAGAGGCATTGGAGAGACAAATTGAAAAGCATGGCATAGCAAAATCACCCATAATTGAGGAAAAGCTTAAAGTTTTGCACAAAAAGAAAGAGCTTACTACCAGAATAAAATCAATCAAGAAGCTAATGCGTTCATCCACGGTCTTAGCTTTCAAAGATGAGCTTAAAGCCAGAAAAAGAGTCTTAAGGAGACTTGGGTAACAAAATCACCTCCCCATATATGCATGCTAAAATCTTCTCCTCTTGATTTGTTTAATACTCATATTTTCAAGTAAACATGGTATCTTTTATTCAAAATTAAATAAAAAATTTGCTAGTATGCCATCCTCCCCATTTGTCTTGTCATCACATTTTCTTCTTAAAATATAGGATCCCTACAATGTTTTTTTGTTTGTTTTTGTGAACGTACAGATATATCAGCAGGGATGATGTTGTGGAGTTAAAGGGGAAAGTAGCTTGTGAGATCAGCAGTGCAGATGAGTTGACCCTGACTGAGCTTATGTTTAACGGTATTTTCAAAGAAGTCAAAGTAGAGGAAATGGTTTCTCTGCTTTCTTGTTTTGTATGGCGAGAGAAACTTAACGATGCTCAGAAGCCCTGTGATGAACTTGCGTTACTGGTCACACAGTTACAAGAAACAGCCCGCAGGGTTGCCAAAGTTCAGCTAGAGTGCAAGGTATTTTGTTTTTTGATCCTCACCATTGCCATTTTGGGGTTTTTTCCGTTGAGGATTTTAGAGGGGAAGATTGCTTTTTGTTCTAATTTATCTGTTTTCATTACTCATATTCTAGAAATAACTGCTTTCTCCCTCTAAAGTATGTTTCACCAAACTGCAACATTAAATTTTCATAAGGTAGAACTGTTAGAAATAATCAAATCTAGCTATGTTTTAAAATTTATGTGTTGGTTTAACTAAATTTTAAGGAGCATATGCTTAGCTTGTTTGGAACACTTTGTTAGGAATGCATAAAGTATACTGGAAACTAGGCTCGTTGTTCAGTTATGTCTTTTTTAGGGACAGATGGATTGCATGTCCATTAGTTTGCAAGTTGGTTTTACAATATCAGCCTTGTAATGAAACATGACAATAACAATGCTAAAATTGCATTTCAGCACCTGAACTTTGACATTTAACTTATGGAAGGACCAATAATCAAAAGCTGCTTTTAAAGACTTAAACTTCACGTTTTGTTGCCCATAGAAGGGATTACTAACAGATTTTATTGGAATGCGCTGTTACAGTTAACGATGCGACTCAAAATCAATAGATATACAATAATACTAATTTTTTAAAATAATTTTAAACCCGTCCGCGGCCTGTTTCATGCTTTTTAGAACATGAAGTCCAAGCCTCTTGAGAATTTGAATATTCTATCGGAGCCCATGTAAATGGTCCCACCTACATGGACCTTGCACCTTAGAAAATCTAAGGGAAGTAGTCCTAAAAAATCAAATCCAAGACCCTCTATTTGAAATGGAACATAATTTATATTAACGCAAAATGATTAGGTTATTTTCTAAGGCTCATTCTCTGTAGTTGTCATGTCAATGGCATCATAAGTTTTTTTGCTGTTATGCTTGTTACAGGTTGAAATAGATGTGGAAAAATTTGTGAGTTCTTTCCGACCTGATATCATGGAAGCTATTTATGCTTGGGCTAAGGGATCAAAGTTTTATGACATCATGGAATTCACTCACGTCTTTGAAGGGAGTTTAATTAGGGCTATTAGGAGATTGGAGGAAGTTCTTCAACAGCTAATACAGGCCGCACAATCTATTGGTGAAACTGAACTTGAAGCCAAATTCGAAGATGCTGTTAGCAAGATCAAGAGGGACATCGTCTTTGCTGCTTCACTTTACCTGTAAATGAAGTTGGTGCTTGTTCGGAAAATGTCGAACTACGATGGCATACATACCCTGGGTGGATTCTTCTCTAAAGGGAAGAGAGTCATGGAAACACCCGGTAAGTTTAAGGTGTACTGCACTTTTTATGGTATCTCTCTTTCATAGATTACCCACTTTTTTAGGAAAGATGACACGTTAGCCTTCCATTTTTGTCATGTATGGTGGCATGAAAAACAGTAGTGACTAGACTAATTTAAACTGATTGGCTATATGATTAGTTAAATCTTAACAATTTCATTGGATGGGTTTGGTTAAATTTTGATATTAAGTTCAGGCACAATCCCTCTCCCCCGGCCAGCCCGCTTCGGTCAAATTTAGAGCAAAGTTACTGAGTAATGAGACAATCAGTTTGTCTCTGGTTAAGGTTTTGAAGTGTTACAATAACCCGTTTGGTTGAATCTGTTTTAATAATGAATTATTTACTCTGATTATGGTCACCTATGAAATGTTATCTCGCATGATTCACATCACCTTTTGTATTACATCCAAATAGTACAGGTATAAGAACATATATAGAATTTCAAAATGAGTGACATAAGGTTCAAATCCCTTGTGTGAATGGATGTGTCAAATTCTGGTATAAGAATACTTTTTGTTTTAATGTTACATTATAATTATGTGGGACATTGTGATTTTACAAAATCATAGAAACAATGAACCCAACAAAAGTGGAGCAATAAGTTATCATTGCAGAAGCTGCTGTTGTCACATCTCTTAACTTGGTTGAGCAGCTGCTAGCTGAATTTGAATCAATGCCTGAAAAAGCATGAAGAAATCTGTTATGGCTTTTTTGGGAAATTAAATTTGGATTTCAATTTCAAATTTGACCCAAGTTACATGTTTAGAAATCCAAAAAGACGGATTTGGATTGGGGTCCAAGAATTCAAATGAATTCCTAGTTTCCAAATACTACCTTAAGTCATTTCATAATGAATAAATATGAAGTTTCGAACCAACATAGAGGTCTTTGAATAGCTATTTTTGTTAGGTTGAATTTTTAGGGTGTAGCTATAAGTTTTAAATGACCATCTCTTAGGACAGGCTATTAGGAGCTATAAGTTTTTTGTTTGGATAGGAGGGACCAAATTTAATAAAGAGAAGAGAGAGAGAGTATTGTAGAGGAGAGGAAGGGAGAGGATGGTATGGGGTTTGGTTTGAAAATTTTGAGGAGGGATGGAATAATAAAGGATGAGGAATATCTTTTGTTTGGATTGAATGGAAAATGAAGGGAGGGGGTATATTTTTAATGTAAAATTAGTTAATGAGGAATTAGTATCCTTTCCCTCCATTTTACTCCAATTTGGAGGGAATAGAATACATTGGAGAGTAAAGGAAAGGTAATACCCTCCTAGTCCTCTCCCCTCCAAACACACTTCCAGTACAATCAAAGAATGAAATGCCTCCCTCCTTTCATTTACCTCCCATTCCCTTCAATCCAAACACACCCGGACGGAAGGGCAAGGGATGGAAGGGTTAAAGAAATGAATGATTTTGTTTTTGGTTCAAAAGAGGAGGGGAGGGGATTGGGGGGTGATTTTGGATTCCTTTCCCTCTGGAATCTTTAGACTAAACAAGGGAAGATGCTGATTTTCCTCCCTTTCCCTCGAACCAAACAGACCCATAGGGGGTCAGGGAGAAGGGTCCTTTTTAATCCATTTGTTATCATTTCATTAAAGTCTAGTGCTAGTATCATTTGAACCGTGCCCAAGTTACGCCTGAGCAACAAAAAGAACAGTTGTGTGCATCGCGTGCATCATATATATAATACCCCGGAGTATATATATATATATATATATATATATATATATACTTTGTTATACCGGGAACACATCCAAAGTAGTTGACACGGAGTCCACATCTAGCAGGCAACATTTGAGCTTCATTCATATCAATCCCAGCCTTCTCAGCTTCATTGCTGCCTCTGATGCTGACCATTTGGCACAAACATGCCGGCATGTTCTGTATCATCTCTTTCAGGGGATCGCAGCAGCTGCTAGGCGGGCCCTGGCTTCCGTTCAGGTAATTCAAACAGGGCACCAGCTTGTTCAAGCACTCGTTCTGGTTCGCGTTACGAGTCTGATTCGTATCTCCTGCTGCTTCAAAACATGATGACCAAAGCATTGTCATGCCCACAAAAATGGCCCCCAATACACGTCTCGCGTTTCTCATCTGCTGGCTGGTTTGATTCTCTATATTTAGTTATGCTTTGGTGTCTTTATATATAGGGCTGTTTTTTTTTGGCTTCTTTTTATAGTTTTGTTTTGGCTTTTATGGTTGAGAGTTGGCGATCAAACACTGCTCTCGCTTCTGGATTATGGCTCTATGGCAGTAACATAGACAGTTGAGCTACATCAAATTTATGCATCACAATGAAGCCAATGTCCATATGGTGTTGGATGAGTTGAAAATCAAACAAAAAAGTGGAATTTATTTTGAATGATCCAGCCATTTAAACCCAAACCTAAACATGGTAGTATTACTTTTTTAGTTTATTTTTGATAAATGATTTGATTTAACCATAACTGATCTTTGATGCTCCTCTCGGTCTAAAAAAGACTTTAGTTTCTTTTTGGGACGCCCCAAAAAGACTCCTCTTTCCTTTTATGGAAAACTTAAAACTTACGTGATTCACAATCTTTTTCTCTTCTGCATTATTTTCAACTACATTTTTACTTTTCTTAATTTTTGTGTCAAGTCAAATCAAGAGTTTTTTTCGGAAAAGAGGAATTTACTTGTTACTATCATCGTTATTATGCATCTCCATAGTCGATGTCTCCATTGATGATCTTATCGACGGCGGGTGGGAGTGATTATATTACAAAAAGGTTTCAATTTTTTTTATTAAAATGTAATATAATTATTACTACCTTCGTCTCAGTGTATTTGTCTCGAATTTTAAATTTCAATTACTTAATTTGGATATCATATTAGTACAATGAAATAAAATTTTAAAAGTTATCATCAAAGTAACTCTAATAAAATCATTCTTTTATACGGATATACATAATGATTTTATTAAATTAAAGTTCAAAGGTTATTTAGTTTGACTCGGATATACACTATGACGGAGGGTGTATTTAATTGGTAATCAAATTTTTTACAATATCAAACCTTATTTACTTTCTATATCTATTTTTGTTAATTATTTGATAAATTATATAGTCATATCACCACTTGTTATTTAGAGCTTATATAATTTTTTTAAAAAAATTCCACCTTAGTTTTCTTATAAATTGAATGGAAAATAAATTCATCCAAACATGGTAAGCTAAAACTTACGGCATGAAAGGGGTGATGGAAAATGTTAGAGCTTGCAAATTGGCCAGTCAGGTCAAATTTGGGTTCGGGTTATTTCAGACTTGAATACATTCAACTCCTGACTAGAAACTGTATGTTCATGATTTGGGTTCCGTTTGAATTGGTAATTAGGGGTTTGAAGTAATCTAACATTTTAGTTTTATATTAAAAATAAAAAAACATCAAAATATACATTAAAGCTAGTATACATTTTACTTTTATTTTTTAGTAATTTTCTCATATATACCACAATGTTATACTAGTAAATAAAACTCGTATAAAAAATTAAACACATAATTTTGATTTTTTTGGAAAAGAAATATAACAATTAAATATCACTAAAAACTCGTTAAAAGATAAATATATACATAAAAATGTGTAACATAAAAAACATAATATTATAAAGTTATATTTATGGTCTCAGATTTTTTTTTAAAAAAAAAAGAGTAGGTGGAATCAATTTTTGTGAAGTCTACAAATCGGTTTAACCTTTTTTGGCCTACAAATAGTAAAATGTTTTTTTATTTGTTTAAAGTCAAAGGTGTGGACTGTGGAACATGGGCAAAGAAATATTGTGAAGAGGTGCATGCATCCGATTGGGGGAAAAGTCGCAATGCACACGCACGTGTCCCCATAAAAATAATAAATAAATACTTACTACGTCCTAAAACTTTCTTCTCGTTGCGCAAAACGAAGGAAAATTCCAAATTTTTTCAATCTATTTTATTTAAATATTGGCATAGAAATAAAAAATAAAACATACATATTTAAAAACTATATCAAAAGTTCAGCAAAACAAGTGATGACAAGAATATTTTATTTTATCATATAGGCCATGAAAAAACACAAATAAATATAAATTTCCGTAAAGTTGGAATAGTGTTCTGGGAAGAAAGTTTTAGGACGGAGGGAGTAGTTTTTTTTGAAGAAATAGTTAAATAGAATTAAACTTAGGATAATATCAATGTTTGTAAATAAATGTAAGAAAGTGATGCCAAAATTAAAGTCAAACTCTAGATACCCCTAACGTGATTCATATAAAAAAAAGTTGTGCACTTTCTTCTACAAATTTTGAAATTCACATTTGATTTTCACCATAAATAAAAATTACGTGATTAAAATTTTTTAGTAGCTCTCATATTCATTGATGTAGTATATGTTCAATCTTTATAATTTCAAAAAGGTAAAATTATGTTTTTAAAAGATATAAAAAAAATGGTAAACCACAAAGTTTCAAAAGATATAGCATGACAAATAGACTTTTTTGTTAGACTAGAAAAATTTGTGCACAATAACTATTCACCAAACACCTCTAACATATGTTTGGCCAACCATTAACTTAAATCATCTTTTGACAAAACAACCCTTCTTTTCCTCTCATGTTTTTTCTGTCTTTTTCACCGTTTTTGGGGCAGACACTGTGACAAAACTTTCATTATGTCTTGTTGGTGCAAGTTAATGTACAAAAAGTATTTTTACAATGAAGAAAAAAAAGAGCACATGAAAGTGAGTCGAGATCAAAGATAAACCATAAAAGTTGTTTATTATATATATATATATATATATATATATATAAACACATAATTGAAAAGAAGAAGCTTTAAGATCATATCCCCTTCTTCCAAATAGTAAAAAAAAATAAAGGCTTATTAAATATGTTTTTAATCCTGTGAATATATGGATGATTTATTGTTTGAGATCCCTTTCAGGTTGTTTTTATTTTTCACCTCTAAAATTTACATTGCTTTCTTTTTTTATCTCTCTCCGACTCTACATCAATCTCTGCTTAATTTTTTTGTTTTAATTAAAAAAAACTAATGTGACAAGCAAAATATCAGACGTGGAGATGTCTAACATTTCGCGAGTCATGCCATTTTTTCATAAAAACAGAGATTATTGGAGAGTCGGAAAACGAGTTTTAAGAAAGGCTTAATACAAAATGTCAGGGCCTAAAAAACAAACAAACAAAACCTTATATTTGTATGGGAAAAACATATTAAACCCAAAACTAAATAGCAGCATTGAATAAAGAGACAATTACCCATCAAGCTTGTCCACTGTTTCTTCTACTTGGTTGTTGAAATCCATCCTTATCTTCATGTCAAGAAGAAGAAATCGCCGATTCTTATGGTACATACATTGTCCTCCAAACAGTTTTCCTTTTATGGACCGACGCTCTGTCCTTCCTCTCAAGCTATAGTCTCAATCCAAACAAGCCTTGAGCTTGAGCTTGAGCTGCAGGGAGTGATGGCGGCATGTGTCAAGCTTCTTCATCTGTGCAACTTGGAGGGTCTGAAAGTGGATGGCCTGGACTGACATTATCACTGTGGGGAAGCTTCATCTTTGGTGAAAGCATCTTGGCTTCTTCGTTTGTGTATATGAAGATTTTTCTGACCATGCAGCAGAACTCGCTGTGTACATACATATATTTCATGAGAAAGCCAAGAAAAACATCAACTTTATTCAGTAAATTCATATATTCATGCATATGTTGTAGTGCTATAGTAATAACACTGAAATAAATGCAAAAGGACTCAACTGCCAAGGATCATCTCCGACCATCATCATGTCGTCTTCATCATCTGTGTACACAACCTGCCATTTCTTGACTGACCCACACAGCTCACCTTCAATCTCAAACATTTTTTCTAATTTCTTCAGCAAATCATCATATCCATTGTACCCGGTCACGTCTACTGCTCTCCCAACTGCCTTCCCTTGCATGTGAACCTACACCACCCCCCAAAAAATAAAAGAATTATTTTTTACTCCTGCATCAAGACTTTAGAGAAACCAAATGAAATTATTGCAACCTAGAAATTTGATGATTATAGACTCCTGCATCATTTCTGTTAAAAAGAATGATATTAAAAAGGAGTAAAGATAATTTTTCAATTCACTTATACATGTCATGGGCTATGTACCTTAGTGCAGCTCCTAATTTGCTTGCTTTGAGATTCATGGGTGGATCTCAAAGATGATCTCTCAGGATCAATGTCAGACCTAGTTGGGTATGATGGTTCGGAAAGTTGTTCAGATTCAGTATCGAAAGGTGGGTTTGGATGGCTCTCTTGAGGTGGTGCAGCAACCGCATGTGACGTGTCAATTGTTGAATGGCCCAGCAACTCAAATCCAAACAGTTTGCAGCCATTCCCCTGTCTCCTTTCAGTGGCTGGTGCAGCCGAGTCTGTTTTAGACTTGGTTAGACAGACAAAGGTTTAACTGCTGAAGGAAATGAAGCATTCTTGTAGTTACCTGCTGGGTTGTTGGCATTTGACTCAAAAGAGAGTTTGAGTGATGGATATGATTCTGGATCGCATCGTGAGAGTGGTAATGGAGAATCAGCAATTGAATTCCATGTACCTATTCATTAGCAAGCATGAAGACGGTTTTAGGTTATCAGATAAAATATTGATAATATTCTCAAATAATGCAAAAGAATTTTATACACTCCATTAAAAAAATTACACCTTGTGGAAGAAATTCTTGTGCAGGTGAAGCTGAAATGGTTAGGCGTGAGCGTTTGTTCCTATGGTGATGAAGTAGAGGATTTTGAGGTGGCAATGTTGCCACAAGTGGTTCAATCTCCCATGGGGATACCCTTTCAGGACGGAGAACTGATGATGGCTCGTCCCATTGAACCTGAAACAAATAAAAGCAGAAAATGGATATTTGGTTTTTACCCAAAACTTACTAATATGACCAAAGGGGAAACAAAGAAACAAATGTAGGAAAGAGCCCCTGGTGAAACATTTCTTTAAAAGGGAGTTAAAAAAGGTTTCTTTTTTTTCTTTTTTTTGTATGTCCCAAAACTATCATAAAGGATTATGTAGGTCCTGTTATTTCTCTCATTTGAATAAATCTCAACCATACAATTTCAAGATTTTTAAAAACGTATAAAAGTCAAATGAAGAGTTACATAGGGACAGAGGTAATATGAAACAATTGAAGAAACATCAGTGAAAATACAATTACCTTTAGAGCTCTCCATTTAGAATTTGCCCATCTAGATGTCGTCTCATCTCCAACGCCGATGATGGTCCCACTGAACCTGCATAAGGATGTCAATAACCCTGAGACACATTCATCTA